ATCCCATTAATCATCTTTGTGGCCTCCTCTGGACTCACTTCAACAGACTGATGTCCTTCCTATCACATCCAAGTAATCTCACCTTGGGAGGCACTGAGGTTTACCAGCAGAACAGTTATGTTATGTGCCAGCACATTCATTAGAGCTTCTTACAATGGAAAAAAAGCCTAGTGTTTTAAGCAGGATGTAAATGTCCACCAATAGATTTAAGAAATGATGTTTCTCAGGTGAAATGCCTTTATCAGAGTTGGGGAACAGTGAGGAGAGAGGTAAATATTTGCGGAGAATCTAAAGCAACATCAGAAATGCAAGGGGGCAAGCAAAGCAGCACAAATTTATACACTGATGATGATTTGACAACAAACAACTGGAGCTGGAATTTTGAAATATATATAGGGCAATTAGGCACCTAAACTTCAAGGGGAATACTTTCCAAGAGGAACTACTTTTGTTTTTAAAATAATTTAGTGAATTTAAAGGATACAGTAGTCAGATCTCCAGCATCTAAATTAAAACCAGTACATTTTCTCTGTGACAACCTTTTCTAAGTCATATGTGAACTCTTTTGGAACTTTTACTTTTGGCTTAGAATTTCTCTAAATACTTACACAATTTATAGGGATATTTCTGCTGACTGATTTCTTTTTATTGTGAAATTTAGTGAATATTGACTGGCTTTACATGATTCTGAGACTCTTAATACAGAACAGCTGTATACAAGCTAAAGGTACCACTATACATGAGATCAAAATACGCAGTGTATACCTCAAATTGTTTTTCATTCTAAACTGCAGAAGTATTTGTGGTTGGTTAAAATTTATTATTAATTTTTCCAACTTATAATGAAATTGTCATAAATACTGCAAATGGGAGTTAGTTTAGCCTCAGCATTCAGAGTGCTCAAAAGCCTAGCAAACCTATCAACCTTAGGAAGTTTATTGGATGGTACACAAAACACTTGTCATTGCCAGGAAGCTACCAGGCTCCCAGTATCGCATCCAGAGTCTTAAGGGAACAAAGACATTTAAGGAAAAAAATCACTTCTGTAGTGTGTATGCAAGACTGTGAAATATTTTCTTTGTTCTGAATTGACCAGGATATAGACACATCTTAGCAGAGGAAGAAAATCATTTATCTGTTAAGAAAAAAAATTAAGAAGCAAAGAAACAAAAATCCCAACTAAATAAAAGAACTGTCTTTAACTGATGTGACAGATTTCCTATTGAATTCACTCAGCTGTCATGCAGGTGTACTGTTGTTTGGCTAAATGTCCTGCCAGAGAATACAAACATACAGGGAAAGAATGGATGTAGTTTTGCTTGTTCCTTAATACATTGGAAGTACTGTTCCCCTTTCTATGTGCTTTGTGCAGCAAGTTGCTGTCTTTGCTATGGGTGAGTGAGTCACTAATTAAATGTAGGACCAGAACATCAGCCAGCAACCCAACCTTGCTCATGAAATCACTAGACCAGCGAAGGATCTGGTGTGTTATTGTTATGCACTGCTACTGTATTATCTGTAGTTACTGTAATAAACAGACTGGGAGGATGTTTTACCCCTCTGTTGTATTATCCTTAAATTCAGTCCAGCTCTTGGTAGCTGAAAATATTAAAAAAAAAAAAAATCATGTAATGACTTGACCGATGAATAGGGGAATTGAAGCGTGTAAGTGAAAGTGCCTGACATACACCTGGAGAGAATTAATCAACCAAAAGCAATGCCAAGTAGGATATTATATGTTTGCAAAGTACATACTCAAAATGAAGTGAATGCTTTATTAGGAGGTTATGATTCAAATGTTTAGTTTGATCCCTTATTATTGACACTTACAACAAACATAATTCTTTTCCCTTCAATTAATCTCTTCTCCCTGAAATCCATCTATTATTAGGCGTAATTTTCACTTCTGATTTTATTCTAATAAATATTGGTTCACTTTAGTCCTTGTGTTGGTAACTTTGTAAGCTCTTACTGCTAATGTAGGTTAATAGTGCAATATATTTAATAGAGTTTCACTGAACTTTTACTTGTACAGCTAATGCTGAATATTACAAACTTTTGAGTTAAGTGAATATTGACCAAATACATACATTATTTTTATTATGCTTTTGACATATACGGAAACAAAACTTACACTGAGAACTTGAATGTGTCAGAAGTCAGGAGCAGAACAATCTCTGCTGAAAGAGGAGAGGAAATTGTGAGGGGATGGAAGAGATCTGGGGAGGAGCCAGGAGATGTAAGGGAGGATGCAACAATCATCGAAGGCTCCAAGGGAGACAGAAGCAGAAGAGGCAACTGTAGAAGGGAAGAAAAAGAAAAGTCTGGTTCAAGGACAGCAATGTTTCAAGGCTTTTGGGGAAGAAATGAAGATTAAAGTTTGTGAGCTAGGTGGGAGGATAAAGAAAAGGAAGAGCAGGGGAAGAAAAATTGTTATATATGAAAATTGGTATATTTGTAATTGTGAAATTTATTGCTATTGTTTTAGTAGCACTATCGATAAAATAACTTGACAAAATATATGAGCTTCGTTCTTGGACTGGATGGATTCTAAGTATATTGATGTTATCTTATGACAAGATAACAAATAAAAGAGTACACACATTCACTTGAAATTTCCTTCTCAGGAAAAGTGATGATTACTCAATCTCCTCAAATGTAAAATACTCAAGTCCATATATTAAAACAAACTTAGAGCCAAGTGTCAAGTTGCCAGTACTGCTTACAGCTAATGCTATCCATGCAATAACTTTGGCACTGCACTGTATTCTCTACTGTGGAAAGTTTGTTCAGCCCTGGTTAACTATTTGGTGAGGCAACAGAGGAAAATTCAAACTATAAAATCTTCAAATTAAAAATTATGGAGAGAATTACTGAAGATATCTGTAAACACCTCTCCTATGAAAACAGACTCAGAGAGTTGGTGTTGTTCATCCTGGAGAAGAGAAGGCTCTGGGGAGACATTTTGGGGCCTTTCAGTACTCGAAGGGTGCCCAAAAGTAAGATGGGAAAAGGTTCTTTAGCAGGGCCTATTGTGATAGGACAAGGGGTAAAGGTTTTAAACTAAAAGAGGGTTGATTTAGACTAGATATAAGGAAGAAGTTTTTTACAATGAGGGTGGTGAGACACTGGTAGATGCCCCATCCCTGGAAACATTCAAGGTCAGGTTGGATGGGGCTCTGAGCAACCTGATCTGGTTGAAGATGTCCCTGCTCATTGTAGGGATGTTGGACTGGGTGACCTTTAAAGGTCCCTTCCAAGCCAAACTGTTCTATGATTCTATAAAATCCCAAATTTGCCAAAGGATTTAGAAGCATCAATTCCTCTGTAATCAAGGGAAATTAGTTGCAGAGGTGCTTTTGTTAGTCTGTGCCTTTATAACATTTAATAGTCTAAGCAAAATATTTGATGAAAAAATCAAGGAAAGGAGCAAGTTTATAGAAATAAAAATCTAATATTTTTCATTATGAACGAAGAATTTCATTCAAGGAAGAAGCAAGTCCCTTTCTTGGGATATTAACTAACAATAGCTTTTTGAAAGGTTTTGATTTGTTTAAGACCATGCTTCTTTCCTTTGCCTTTGTTGCTACTTGCTCAACACTTATGACCTTGTCTACCTACAGATACTATACCCATTAAATCCTGTTATTACAGTCTTTATTCAGCCTCATCAACTTCTCCAAATAGAGTTGAGAGAGCAGGAGAGGGAAGAAATATGAAAGTAGATTTAATAGGGATAAATAGTGATTCACAGTGTTTCATAGATACCATTAAGATAACAAATAATGTATTCTCAATGAATAAATAGGGTTTTATAAAAGCCTTCCAACTTGCTCCTGGTGATAGCTTTTAAAGTTTCAAGAGCTAAAGCCTACATTTTCTTCAGTCAAGGTTGTACCTTGCAGTCATAGGAACATTAATGTTCTAAGGGACCCATTGAATGAAAGTCAGTCATCTTTCATATTCAGTGAATATATCTTTCTCAGCTCATTAATTGAGAAGAGATTATGATTTTTATGAACTTGTTCTGTTTGGTATTGTTCACTGGATGTTTTTGTGTGACCCTGCTGATTCCAGTAAACACCCTTCACTATAGGATTGTGTGGGCATAACTGAGGGAAAGTCGGTATAGCAAGTCAAATACAATTGGTATTTGTTAAATGAATGAAAATTTTTGCCCCTTTTGACACCTGAGATGTACTGAAGCTACACTACAACCATTAAAGTAACTTTGCTCTACTTTTGTAGTGCTCATATGCTTGAAATTTTGTAGACCCCCATCAAAATTCAAGATAAACTCCCTCAGTAGAGGAAAATTCAGAAATATAAGTGTTATGTGGGAATTCTATAATTTATGTTCAAAATCTCCATCTTATTCCTACCTCTTTTCTGTGATTAGACATCCTGCCAATGAATAGACTAAGGAATAGCCACACCACCCGCATTAACATCCAATGTGGATGCTGAGATTTCTTTTCAGCTCCATTTCTCCTCATCCTCTTTGTGTCACAATACCACTACCTGTCTCTTGACAGTATTGTTTTTCTACTGACCGTGTAGGCTTCTTCAGTCCTTTCAGTGAGGAAGTGGGGGAAGGTTATATTCCTCCATCGGTCTCAAATAGTTCCCCAGAAGAAAAGTCCCCCAGCACAGGAAGGCCGTTAGTACAAAAGCAGGGCGCAGAGCCATTTTTTATATTAGTATGTTCCCGAGACTAGCAAAATAAAGTGGTAAGTGATGCAATGCAATGCAATGCAATGCAATGTGTATATACATATATATACATAGCTGCCTTTCTCTTGCTCCACGTTGGGCGCCAAAAAGGACTGTGGTGGGTTCATCTTGACTGAACGCCAGGTGCCCACCCAGCCGCTCTATCCCTCCCCTTCCCAGCCGGACAGGGAACAGAGTAAGGTGGGAAAAGAAAACAACACAAATCGTGGATTGTGATAAGACAGTTTATATTTATTCAAAAAAGAAAAGCAGAAGCTAGCAGTTAATCTCTACTTCCCATAAGCAGCGATGGTCAGCCACTTCTCTGAGCAGCAGGGCTCCAGCACGCGTAAGGGTTGTCAGCAGGCAGCCATCAGAGACAACAAATCCTCCTGTCCAGCTCCTCGCCTCAGCTTTTATATCTGGGTTGACTATGGAATATCCCCTTGGTCAGTGTGGGTCAGCTGGTTACTCGTGTCCCCTCCCAGGATCTCGTCCTCGACTGAAGAAGGAATGTTACAGTGCTGTGCTCAGCAGTAGCCAAAACATGGGTGTGTTATCAATACTCCTCTAGCTACCAATGTAAAGCACGGCACTGTGAGGGCTATTGTGGGCAAACAAATTCTGACTCACCACAGGGGGTTAATAATCTGAGCCCCCAAATTATTACAATGGGCTTTATACAAGATTTAAGAAAAGTCTACAATGAATTCTTGTAGTTAACCTCTTTTTCCTTTTTTGTTCGTTTGTTTGGGTTTGTGTGTGTGTGTTTGTTTTTGGGTTTGGGGGGGTTTTTGGTTGGTTGGTTGGTTTTGGTTTGGTTTTTTTTTCTGCTTTCCTAGAATCAACCATTGGAGAGATTTCTTTTCTTTGTAGAGTCTAAGAAACATCATTACTCATAGCTGATACAGTCCTTTAAGGGGTCTTTTACTGCAAAATAAGCACTTGAAATATGCTCCTGGATATGAGGAATGATCTGGATGGCAACAGTTTATAGTGACAATGCAATCAATTGTAGGTATTAGTTTTTACTATAGCAACAATTTGTCAGTCTCTTTGTCAAAATGAAGTTTGACTTATCTTTCTGATCAGCAGGACTAGGAATACCAAGGTCAGAGAAGACTAGAGAAATTTAGAAAGTGTCTGTGTATTTGTAAGTTTCTCTCCAAATTTACCTTTTTAATATTTTATATAAACCAATTTATTAAAAAAGAAATTAAACTTTCTGGAGACTTAATTCAGCTGATTCATTTTGGAGAAGCCTAATAACAATAATTCAAATGGTTTTGGTTAGGATATATTTAAACCTTTCCGAAGTCTACCTAAATCACTTTGCTAGTCCATCTTTTAAAAGCCATACGTTGTACTTTGCATGAAAAAGGTCAGAACAAAGCCGTTAATTCTCTCATGTAATACTTTTTTCCAATACAACAGTATTTCCCCTGGTGTTATGTAGCTGTCTCATTGGGAAGGCAGTAAGTGAGCTTGTTTGTCATTTTGTTCATCAATAATGAAGAATATTTCTACTGATCTGGTTCATAAGAACTTTTTGAAAGCATACAAGAATTTTTTTCTAGATTGCACTATGCAAGAAAACAAACAGCATCAGTGGAGTAACTTATCCTTGCATTCCACAGAAGCCAGCTGCAGAATGATAAGGATTTGATATTTTGAATCCTGTTACACTGATGGAGTGAGTCTCCAGTTGTCTTTTGTTGACCTTCATAGGATAAAACAGAAATCTCTGCAGTTTCGTGGACATATTAACAGTGAAGGGACACATAAAAACCACTGATATTAAAAATTTTCATCCCTGCAGTTTAAGGTAGTTAATCTACAGGAAAGTAAAAGTGAAGGGACACATAAAAACCACTGATATTAAAAATTTTCATTGTGTTTTTTAAGGAAATAGTTAATCTAAGGAAAGTAAAATCCATAAAGCAATATATCAGAATATTGGTTGACAGCTGGGCACAAAATATCCTAGTAATCAATTAAAAAAATCAGTAATAATATACATGGAAAAGACTTTTACCCTTTCTTACTGGAGAAGTTTGAATTTTTAAAGAATACATTGTCACTTTGAAGACTGAATTCTTGTTCTACTCTGAAGCAGTGCTAAGTGCAAAGTTGAAAGCTACATTACACTTGCTAAAGAACTAATGTGCATTATCTACTTTAGAGGTATTTATAATTACTGGTTGCAGCTGGTAGATGATATGTTACATTGCAAACTGTCAGGAAGCAGAGGGCTCTTTCCATTAGCCAACTAAACTGCTGGACCTCATGTTCCCTCGTCTGGAATTAAATTTGTAACAGAATATGTGATTATGAAGTGTACCTTCATAGATGTTGGCTCTTTTGCTATATGCCTTTCGTGTGCATTGCGTAATCTCTTACAAGGCAAACTGTACAGCTGTACAACTGTAAATCCAATTAATGTGGAAAGACATTAAGAATGTGTGTGAAGGGGTGAACTGGTTCTGTCAAGGGTCAAGTGGAATAAAATATAAATAAGAAATGCATTTCTTGGGAGAATTGTCAACCTTTCACCTCTTGCTATCTGGCTTTTCACTATATATTTCATTTATTTAGGCTTTTTGTTTGTAGGCTTTGTTAAAAAAATCATATTCTGAGCTTTCTTCTGAATGGTGAAACAAGGCACAGTAAGTATTAAACCAGTCTTACTTCAGGCTCCATGGTAAAACTCCTTTGAAAGCGATTTCCCCCTGTATTTATATATACTCCCTGCCATTTAACTTGAAGGATCATCACTCCATTTTGTCAGAAACCTTATTCTAATATATGACTTCTTTACACAATCTTATCCTTTGCACATGTATAAGTAAAATCTAGTGTAAAAATGAGATAAACATGAAGAGAAGGCAGGGGAATACAAGGTGCGCTGGAAATAGCTGATTAGTGCAATAAGCTGCAGAGACAAAACATATTTAGAGGAAAAGAGGTAATAGATTTATTCTGAGCACTTGATATTTACTTATTTTTCTTACTTAGGCATATGTATTTAGGACTTCTGAAAGTAACACCTAATGCGTGTTGTAATTATTTAATGAACATAGAAACAAAAAGTATGCATTTTATAGCATCCTTTTATAGTATATTTTACTTTACCTGCACACTATGTTACACATTTTGTTGTGTTGAATTCCACATTTTTTTAGCTCTGTGAGAATTTATCCTCCAAAATTCAATGTTTCAAAATTAAAATTTACCCCAGGGTCCTGCCAATAAAGGAAATATAAATGTTATTATTCTCTTGTGCAATATCAAATTATTATTTTCATGGCACAACCTGATCAGCTGTGCTTCCCTGTGAAAAATCCATGTGTTTGTGAAGTTTTGAAGTGAGAAATCTCAATTAATTTCTTTAAGAGTATTAGCATCACGTGAAGAAAAGAAAATGAAAAAAGGGGAAAACCCTCCTCTGGGTTTTTCCATTCTGTAATTTAGTGTGTGCTGCATGTCACTACTTGATTGTACTTCTGCATTTCACGTTTTAAATGTATTTCAGAAGTACAATTATGTGCATTTGAATTATAATAAACAGGATAAATTGCAGAGATTTTCCAGGCAACAAAAAAAGATTTGAAACTCTCCATAGCTTTCTTGTCTATTTAGAAGCATAGCAATTATCACTTAGCAGTATCCAAATCATACATTTTAATTAAAGATATTTTACCGCTGGGATTACACTCAAAGCATGGTTACTTCTCCCTGTGAACCAAGGCATTCCAGCACTTCAGTGGTCACAGCTTGTCTGCCACCAGGTTTTCAGGTAAATTGTTGCCCTGAAGTGAGTGTGGTTGTTGCTGCACAGCATGGAAATGATGAAATGGAAATGAAAATGGAGGGAAACTGGAAAACATACATCCTGTGCATAAAACATGTATTCCAGTTCACAAAGATATAGTTAAAACTCATGAGACATACTTTCAACTTGCTTAAAGAAGCCAAAATAGTCATAAGTAAGATGTAATTGCGTGGATTATGTTTTCATTTTTGAGCCACTTTAATCTTTTTCTGGAGTGAATTAAAAATACTCACAAAAAAACCCCAAAAACCCCCAAACTAAAAACCAAAACTTGGCTAATTTTCCCTGCTGTTTTTACTAGCTTGTTACACCAAAGTAGAACTTTGTCTCTGTGAAATAGAGTTAAAAGTCTGAATTGTGACATTTACATGAATATTTACTATACTTCTTTTTTTTTTTTTAGCTGAGTACTGTGAATGGAAAACATTAGTTTTTAGCTTAGAAATGCCTATGGTAGAATGTATTGCCTCTTTTTTAAACTACTGTATATTGCTTAATAGGTTGCAATTCTAAACTTTTTTTGCTTGGCACTTAAGAGAATGAGGTCCCTAGGACTGGAACTTTTGGCACATGTATAGTTATTTGGCTTTTTAAAGGACAACCAGTTGGAAAATTTCCCTCTTAAAATGACAAAATCTAGCTCTTATTGATGTGAGAGAAGAGCAAGATAACAAAGCATATAATAATTTTTTTATTATAATCACAACTATAAAGCATTATTTAATTTTAAAATCAGTGTAAGACTGCAATCACAGTGCATCCAAGAAGAAGAATTACCTGCTAATGTCTCTGACCCAAAGGGAGATTAAGCTAAAAGCTACTTGTTTTACAGTTTCCATTTCCACAGTGAATGAATTGGCTACTTGTCAGAAGAGGTCTCAGCAACTGTCTCTAGGTCCATGTGGGATGTTGGCAGGTACACCCACATGGGTTTCTTTTTCTCACCCAAGATTTTACAAGCATCTTCAGGGTTTGTAATGACTCTACTTTGTTGAAATGAGCATCATCTCTTAGTTTCAGAAGCAACTTTCTCTCTTTCTCCTCATAAGTACATTCTTTAGAACAATATAAGGGACTTTTGCAAGTGGATTAAGGAAAAAGAGTGTAAACAAAATGTGGTTACACGGTAAGTATATTTTCTCCCACAGGAAGCAGTATAAGCTCACCTTTAAAAATTGTATAGAAATGTATGAGAATATCACAGATAGCACAAGTGGGCAGTAAGATTAGCACTGTCTGGTGATTTCTAATAGACTATTCTACTGATGTGATCCCCATATTTGGAGTAATTCTGAGTTTCTCTCCTTCAAGTTATGAGACGAGAACCTTGTCAAACCATTTTTAGTAGAAGAGAAAACGTCAAGATCAACTAAATATTTTCTTTTATTATAGAACCATATATTTATTCTGAAACAGTGATTCAGAGGTAGTTTCTCTTCCCACAACACCTTTCTCAGGAGCTAGGACTTCTCTCAAGACCAGTTCCAGTGTTTTTTAAAGGAAACTACATGTTTTAGCTTCTAATTCAATTGTTCATATCTATGTTCAGCCTCAAGGGCTAAGAAAACCATTTGACTCCCATTAACACCATATCTGCTATTGTGTGGCTTCTATGCCCCTTCACATCAATATAGATGTAGATTGATTATAACACTGTTTTTCAGAACCTGTACAATCAGTACTGGAGCTACTAAATGAAGCAGTTGCCTAGCAAACAATGAAGCAAAATCAATGCAAACCTGTTAGAAGTTTTCATGTTACCAATCTCTGCATTCCTCTGAAAAGACATTCTTTCAAAAATATTTCAGTCAGTTCTAGTTTATTAGCTGCAGATACTTGTCTTTGATGTCAAATGTCTTAAAATGGCCATCATGAGAGGACACTTTATAGTATTGTGTTTAAAGAATAATTATATCTTTTAAGGCTTTATATCTAATAGTGAGTTTCTTGTAACCAAAATGAGATTTTTCTTTTTAAGTAGAAGAATAAAATTTTTAATATTTGTAAATTAATTTCATATAGGTTTCATAGAAGTCTTTGTTTTAAAAGTGAAGTACCTTTCTCTGTAAAGAAGGCAGGAGGTAAACATATTTAGTAGAGGAGCACTCAGTTTATCCTTTTTTATATCCTTTGTATCCATACTGTTTCTTTCAAATACCTTTGGAGAAGAATATCTTCACATTCCCTAAGAAATGAGATGTTCTGTTCCTTGGGAACAAGTTCCCGTTGGGTGTAGGGTTTTTTTTGGTTAATCAGCTCCCTAAATAAGAGCCTTATTTTCTTACTATGTCATGAAGATAAAGGAAACACAGTAGTAGGCATCTGGGTCTGCCTTTCTAATCTAGTATATATTGTAAAAGGAATACGGAAGTCCAAGCATTATATTAGAAGTGATAAGTGCTAGAATTTTTGTGGTAAGTTATCATTATTCATGGTACTTTTAATAACTGATACTTGCAGAAGAAAAGTGAAGGCAATGTAGAATTCCACTAATTAGCCTCAGTATCTAATTTAATAAAATTAGCTATGCAAAATGGATATGCATAGCAGCTACACAGCTCTCAAAGCATCACTTATAGCAAAGACAGGCTTATTGCAACCAAAGATTACCAGAGGTTTGGGTTTTTTTTGTTTCAGTGATGAGGTATATTTTGATTTCCCCATAAAGGCAATTGTGAGGTGAAAGTTAACAATATCCTTTTCCCCTTGAGAACATACAGTAATCTGCTTTATTGCCTATTTTACTCTTTCCCTGAAAAGCTGTGTGGTTGCTGCAGGAAACATCATGTATTGAATGGAGGGAGGGGAAATGGTGGAAATCAGCTGCACATGAGAGATTAGTGTCAGAGACCGTACAGAACCCTCACCAGCATTTCTGATGGCAGATCAGACAGAATGTCCTCTTTTTATATACAATTCCAGCAAAATACTTACACATGGGAGATGAAGCCAAAAGAAGCCTCTGTGTGTTGAAGTGCTCAGCTGGATCAGGACCAGAGGGGCTGGCCAACCTTTTCTTGCTGCATTGATTTCATGCTGAGTGTCCATATGTTTGTAGAGAACTATTCTTCGTGGAATGTCTCAAAACTATTTTACATCACAAGCTATATAGGAAGAAATTGCTTCAGCCAGCTCTGCAGTACATTTGTGGTGTATTATTCTGCAGTGGTTAATAGAGCACATCCACACTGTAAAAGGACAAAAGCAGAAGAATGCTGAATCTAATTAAAAATGCAAGGGAAAATGAAACAGGCAGAGTGTAATTACCTGAGCTGAAATTTAGCCAGGATATAAGAATTAAAACCTTACTCTTAGGAAGCTTTCTTGACTTCTTAATAAACATTAGAGGAACAGGGTATTGCTAAAGCATTTGCCTATGCATGTTCACCTGAATTTATATTGAATTTATGCAATTCACTCTCAGCATTAACATACTGATAAGCTACAAGTTAAGGATTACTTAACTGCATAATCTTTTTATGGCAGGGAGCTGTGTCTGCAGACAAGTTATTCACAACTAAAGTACTATAATTCACATGGGGTATAAAATGCAGTTGGAATAAGGGCTACCCAAACCCAGTTATTATAGCCTTGGCACAGAAATGATAGAAAATGTGAGCAAAGACAATCCAATGTATTGGACACATATTTGTATTTTCTCCATATTGGAGAAAATGGGTCTGGTCCAGACCAGGGACACTTTGCTCTGGATGGGTTAGTGGATGGGTTTTTACATGGTTATACCAGAATTCTTGATCCATCTTCCATCCAGGTGCTCCCTTGTTGGCTTCCTCCTGCTTGAGAAAGCAGATTTGAGTTTTGTGCTAAAGTCAGAACTATGGGTTTGCTTTGTTTTGCTGCAGCAGCTTTGGTGACCACATGCTGGGCTGCCTGGCAAGCACCGCCCTGCTTAGGTCCTTTGAGTAACTTGTCCATTTTCCTGCGTTCTGCCTCTTCTTTCTGATACTTCTGTACTTCCCTTTCCCCATCCCAGTCTCCTCTCAGACAGCCTGCCTCGTTGTGTTTTCTGTGGTTCTATTTTGCTACACCTGTAGTCAAGTCTCAGCCTTACAGAGGATAAATGATATTTAGGAACTGCTGGCTTACAAGGTTTTACTCCCCTGGACATACTTAAGACTGCTTTCTAAGTACCTGTGAAGCCTGGCACAGACTGAGTCACAATTCCCTGTGTAACCAACTATAAAATCTGCCTTCTTTCTCATCACTGTCTGTGACTTCTGTCAGCTTCTCACACTTACCTCTCAGGTACAGCCATTCCCATCTCCTGTCCAGTGGTCCTCCATATCCTGTCCAGTATAAGCTTAAGGGCCAAACCAGCAGCCCAGAGAGTTGCCCAGAGCTATAACATGTTTGGTTCACTGGAGACATAACATTTATGAAGCTTGTTGTAGGAGTTTCTAGTGCAAGGAGATCATCTGGCATAGATTAAATTCACATTTCAGAAATATGTCCACAGATTTCACAATTTCACAAAACAAAAGTTCACAATTACTTTTTATGAGCAAAATAATAATGAGCGTAACTTTAATCTGTATCTCTAAATATATTCTGTAGTGGTCTAATGATAGAGAAAGAAGGAAAAAAAATGGAGAGGAAGAAAACAAACGACGTCTTCAGCAATTATTCAATCTCAGACAAATTCACAGAACCCCTGTGAGCAGATTTTTGGTGGGTACCACCTACATCTGGACTTCTGAACTTCACCTGGAAACAGGAGTGTCTTCAAAGAGGTCCAAGGAACGGTCTCAGACAGAGTAACCTATAGGATGCTTACAGCGGGTGACAGCAGCCAGAGGTGATTCAGAAAATCTGATGGGATTTAGGTTAGATATTTGAGGCAGGAAGGAGAAAAAAAGATTGAAAATTGAGATGGCCTGTGGTCATGATCTAGGAACTTGGTTTAGAAAGCACTGAAAGCTTCCGGTTAGGAGAAGCTGAAAGCCATGAGTTAATGGCTAGGAATCAGAGGTGGGTTAGGTTTTGAAAGCATGAAGAATTCAGGATTCTTATACAGCAAATCTTTACTTAGATACCTATGAAGGTATCACTCATTTCATCCCGTTGTCTGTCTAACACATGGGACTCTAGGCAGCCTGCTCCTCTTTGCTCTCCTCTCCACTGTCAGGTATGCGGTACTTATGTACCCACTGTCTTCAGCGGGAGGTGAGTATTTAAGTATGTTTGCAAATCTTGAAGCCCCAGAACTAACCTCTGTGACTTTCAAGATGAATGAGAGTTAATGTTGTAATAACTCCTGTGATTAAAATTACTAATTGTGAATTTTAAAAGTCGGATCACAAATGCAGCCAATAACACATTCATAATCTATCTACAGATTAAAAAGAAGAAAGATTTCCCCACTCTGGTCTATTAAAACTAAAAAAAAGGAATTTTTGTTAACAAACTTGAAATCAGCATGCAGACCTTCCAAAAGTACAAAAAAAAAGAGTCAGTGATTCATTGTGACTCTGAAAAATTTAATAGAACAAAGGAATCCACTTATTTACCTTTTGTGTTTTTAAAGAAACTTTTTCCTAAACTCTGTTTAGGAAACAAAACATCATTCCACAAGAAAAAAATTAGATATTTAAACTGAAAATGTATGTTGAATCTGTCAAGAAATCTATGTTGCTTGTCTTATATGTACAAGATTTATGGGTTTGGTTTCAATAAATATTCACTTATAAGCAAAAGTATCTCTAGACATTCAGAGTTAGATTTTTTAGGTAAGATAAATAAATGAGTCAAAATATCTGAAGTACCTAAACTGAATTTTAATTTGTTTGGATTTGGGGGGGGAGGAGGAGGAGGTTGAGAGTGGTTTGTAGAGAAATTTGAGGCTGCTAGAAATGTGTATGTATCTAGCCTTTGTTTGACTCTGACAGTCCACAGCACCGGGAACAGATGAGCATTTTGTGATATGAAACACCCTCCTGTGTCCAGCCAGCAGAAAAGACTAAATCAACCAACTGTGACTTCCATCCACTGCCAAGGTGACTGATTTCAACCAATATGAGGGAGACAAGTAATTATTTTCAAATGTGAGTCTACTGAGTACAGAAAGGGTAAACTCACCAAGAGTCAGTGGACCAGTGCTGTTTCTATTCATACTTCAGCAGCTCACATATGAGGAACTCAGCAGAAAGATGTTATAAAATTAAAAAAAAAAAATAAAAATCAGTATTGCAGTAGAACAGCAAAGACATACTCCTTTAGCTACAAAAGAGGGTCAATTGCTGCTCAGTTGCATTCACTTGATTTATATATTTTTCTTCTGTCATGCATTACTTTGCTTTAGGATTTGTACAGCCATAAGTAGAAGGAAAGAGGCTGTGGTTCACTCACTGATACTTTATGACAAGTGATTTATTTTCATTATTAGTCTAAGAAAACTTGTTGATTTTATGTAATTCTTAATTAAATTAAATCTTTCATGGGAATAGTTTTTAAATTATCCAAATGAGTGTCATCAAAATAATTTTTTCTATCTGGATGTATAACTATTTTCTCCTGCTAATGTTCTTGTAAACATTACTTCTTGCAATAATTACTTTGTCTTTCAATTTGTAATAATTAAGTGGACATTTGGACAACAACAGAAGTTTCAAGGAACTTGAATTGCTTTTTTGCGATTTTCCTATGGACAGTCTTTTGAGCAAATATCTTTTTTAGGTGTTAATTTATACTGACTTCTACATCCAGATTATATATTAGCAATTAATATGTCCAATAATTTCTTAGAAATCTGTGTGGAGAATTTTTTAGTGTTTTTTCCCTACAGAGTTCCTATGCAATCTTGTATTTCTGATTAATACTCTAGAAATAGAAGTGTAGTCTCTGCTATAAAAAGAGAACATGGTGGTAATTCAGTTTCTGATATTGTGATTTTCTTGGGAATGTAGCTTTCAAAAAAATTATGAACAGGTATGAAATAAGTAGAAATAATTCATTAAATATTTGATTGGTGGGCTGAGGTGCCAGCTGGTTTGAACCAGTGCAGAAATCCTGGCTTGGTTAGAGAGACAGTGATTTACATTGATGGTAGATTAGGTTCATTGTCCTTAACTGAGAGAAACATCTATAGGGCAATTATGCCATTAGAGATTTGTTGTAACTGGCAGGATGTATGAAAGCTGTGCAAGCACTATTCAGAAACAGCCAAGACACTGCTGTGTTATCATGACTGTTTCAGCCACAAATCCAAAGCACAGCACCATGCAGGCTGATAGAAAGAAAATTCTCAGCCAGATCCAGTGCAATGAGACAAGGTGCTACCTCAGGGATAGGAAGAGAGTGAATTGATGCAGAAGTTCCCAGGTTTACGACATTCCACAGCATCAGGCTGTTATCCAAAATTCAAGTTAATTTTTCTCTTCCTCTCAGGGCTGTGTTTTAAGAGTTGATATGTGTTCCAATCATTATGGAACACTATCCTACACGGGGGTCTGATTCTGGAGTGGCTGATAGTGCGCTTCCATTTCTAGCTTTGAGCATTTAAACTCCACAGAGAACTTGGCTACAGTGAAGAATTTCTTTGCCCCTCCCTCCCTTCATCTCTTCATCCTCCCCTTTCCCCTTTTCTCTTCCATCCCTTCCCCCCTTTTTTTTTTCCAATTTACCCATTGGGTAAACCCAACCCTGCTTTGGAGTCAATATTAAGGCAAATATACTAAAAAGGGAATACTGTACTCAGTCCTTGTTCAGGAATGTAGATGGGAGGAGGCCCAGCTGCTCAGAAGCTGCTTGTTCACAGTTATTTGTGGTCTGAAAGTTCGTGGCACATATTGCAACTTGAGGAAATAAATCAGTTCTATGAGCCAATTATGGATTTTATAAAAGAAAAGAATAAGCAAGCAAATATTCTCTTAATGAAATATATTTCTAAGCTAATATGCTACAGTTTTATTAGCTAATTAAAGATGAACAGTATAATGATCAAATAATGGGCACATTTAAAATTGAATCAATAAATCAGTCGGATCTAATTATTCAGTCACTAAATTACTGCATTGAGTAATCAGCTCAAGTTATGAGTTTGACATGGGAAGGAACTGTTCAGTGTTAGCTTTGTCTTGGGAGAATTTAAGAGGGATCTATTTTCCTTTCCATCCTAGAACCCATAAAAATTCTTGTTAATAAAATACATATTCCTTCTATCTTTTGGACTTCAGCATTAGATGAGCACTAAAACTGGGATTGAGCAGGAACTTCTTACATTCACAGATGTGAAGAAGTAAAACTTTCTTCCAGACTTCAAGGAGTGAGCGGATGATGCTTTAGTCATGTGGTTTAGTTTTAGGTAGTCCTGTGAGGAGCAGGGAATGGGACTTGATCATCCTTATGAGTCCTTCCAAACTCAACACATTCTATGATTCCTTCATCTCTGTGTGCCTGAAAGTCTGTGGGTAGCTGGTTTTACCTTGGCAGCCCTGTGGAAACATTGAGAACTGTTATGGATTCACAGATGAATATTCTATGCAGAGGATTGAACATTTAACATTCCCACTGACACTGAAATTTTCTATAGGATTAAAAATAGGCTTTCCTATACTGAAAGGGTTTTTAGGGCTGAAGCTGTTGACCTTAAGACCCAGGGTGAGCATAACCACCATAACTACCCCAGAAAAGGGCACACAATAGGAGGGTATTGGGCAACAGGTTTAAGAACATTATCATTGAGGTTTTCTTTAGCAGGTAATTTGTACTATTAGACTATTGCTGAAATACTAATTAAACTTCCTGATAGATTAAGTGGTGGATTCTCCATCCCTGGAGGTTTTAAGATGAGACTGGATGTGTCACTTAGTGCCATGGTCTAGTAACCACAGTGGTAGTGGATCAAGGGTTGAACTTGATGATCTCAGAGGTTCCTCCCAACCCAGCTGACTCTATGTTTCTATGATTCTAGTTTCTTGGGATAACATGCATGCTGAGCATTTAAGAGTCATATCTGTAATCAGTGGTTTAAACAGCATGAAATTTTAAAACTTATAAGTGTCTGGCTGAGGCTTATTTGGTCAAAGTCTTTTGTCTTCTGGGATGTATGACAAGCAGAGACTTTTTAAAAACAGAACAACAGAATTCTGGGTATGGAGCCACGATGAGTGGAACTAATTGTAATAATTATCTTAGATTGTTCAACTTCCCTGGTATTTTTTCCCCCTGCTCATTATTGTGCAACACATATTCTGAGGTATATACTCTGTTTTCCTTCCTGATTTCCTGATTTTTTTTCTCTTCAGATAAATTAATCTACAGAACCATCTTGCTTTGTACATGTTTATTCTGATTGCTACACCTCTGTAATGCTTCCAATTAACTTTTAGCTAGAGAATGCAAGTTTAATAGGAGTACTCTTTCAGTCCAACCCAATGTTAGTACATTTTGTGTAAGAGGATTTCCATGTAGAGAAAATCCATTCTGCATTTCTCTTTCTTCTGGTTATTTTCTTTCTTCTAGAAGTGCTTACAGGGAGAGAATTAGGTTTACTATGAATCACTTACATATACTTTAATTCCACTTCAGAGTGCAACATGAGTCTGTTTCTGTGTTTTAGCTGAAAAACTAATGAAAATATTAGTGAAAAGAATATTTTAATGTAAATATTTATCTATATGTACACATGATTAATGTATTAAATACGTGTAAGTAACTAATATGTGTATAAAGTATTTCAAGATTTCTGTTACATATTTGACTAGAAAACCATTTACAAAGCATATTTAAGAAGACAGTCCCTCCATGGGAAAGCTATTTATGGATATTCCTGGGCATTTTAATTAAAAATCTTCTGCTTCCTCCTGTCAGATTTCAGAAAAAACGTAATAAGGGGAGTCACTGTAATCTAATTCATGAGTTCCCTTCCCAGCACTACACTGTGATGATCCCAGATACTTCCACTAAACAACCTCATGCCAGCTCTAGCAGCCCACCAATCTCCACAATCTCTTACAAAATCTGCTTCATGTTGTGCATCATTTTGGAAAAAAAAAGCAGATCAGATTTCATTTGAAAGAGTATCAAAGAACCAGCCAAAACATGATTAACTAGTATTGCTCCATATTTTATAGAAACACCATTTTGGGATTACCTTTCTCCTAAGTGAGGTAGAAACTTATTTACTTGTGTGCTGCGATATGTAAGGCCCACTGAAACATTTCATGGTAGAAACTGGTATTACCTCAGTGCCATATTTCATGCTTTCTGACACTTCCAATTAGCTTGGATCAGTAAAAGGAAAGGTGTTGGATCAGGCAGCTTCCAATGATGCATTAAAGTTGAAAATTAAATTCTGGTAAGTTTATTCATAAAATAAATAAAGAGCTTTAATGGCAGATGTCACTTGCAAAAGAACCAATCATTCATGACTCAGCTGAGCACCTGAGACAGTTTTCGGTACAATCTTTTTGTTTGGTGGGAAGTTCATTTGTGGGTTTTTCATGCTGATCTAATTGATTTGCAGGAGGGCTAACAACCCTGTTTCCTGCACTTGGTTTGACAATTGAGACCATCTGGTTCATTGGATTAGCAGCTGTAGTTCACAACTTGTATCAATGCAGACACGTTTGACATGTTTGCATCTTTGGTCTCTTTCAATTCATTTCCCTCTTTATATGCTGAAATCTGCAGAGCTTCTCCACTGCAAAGCAAGGTTTTTTTAATTTATAGCACAGGGATAATAGGATGATGACAATTATTATTCTAGTCTAGTTGGAGCAGAAAAAAACCTGCATCGAGCATAGAGCAAACACAAGGGGATGAATTAACATTGAGGGCCACATCTACATGTCATTTACTTCAGTGGAGATGGAGGGTGCTCAGTATCTCAGAGGAGCAGAATATTCATCATGAAGAAAATAAATATAATTATGGCATTTTAGAAATTATTATCAGATCTACATGATTCCTTGTTGAGTGTCTCATCTGCCATAGCACTACTCCCTGATAGTTCAATAAATGTTTCAATATGTCTCTCACAGTGTAAGAAACTGGGGTGAATTGAAACCTGTCATTTCCTTCACATATAGACCATTTTAGAACTAAGAGATATTGCACAAGGGACACTCTACCCTGCTCTGGGGACACACTTAACTATCAAGAGACCCATTTCTGTTCTCCATGTACAAGGCTGATGTCAGTCAACTTGTTC